CCCCCCCCCCCATGCCATGCACCTCGTGAGTTTCACTCTCCTCCTCTGGTCTGCCCGCTTTCCCCGAAGAAAAAAAATAAAAAATAAAAGGACCGGTGAGGGCTGGAACGGGCCCCCCTGACGTCCACATTGCGTAGCCGTAGTGCCACAACTATGCCAAAACCATACCACTCGCCGCCCATGCTGTGGCCGGATGGACTCTTCCGCCGTCCTCTGCCCTGCTTTGTTTCAACTCGCCTGCCGCTGTGAAATCGACGCCTCAACGCGGGTGCTTGGGTTGGGGTCCGCCTTGCAGCGGCAGTTGACACGCTTCTGCTGGGACACGGCAACCCGTGTGTCTTCAAGATATGGCGCCTGTCGCTGCCATCCGTTTCCCTGGGTCGCCCCTTGTACACTGTGCCGCATCCTACATACACACACACACGCATTTGCAATCCTCATCCATCGTGCTGCCGGCGTGCATGCAGGACATGTCCACCCACAGCCTTCTTTCGCTTCTGTCAAAACCCTTCTTGTTTCAAATGCACCTTGTGTATGTGATTGCGCCATACCAGGGCCTTACCCAGCAACCAAGCGTTTCGAGGCCATCAACATTCTGTACACCTACGTATGTAGAGTGCCATGGTGGCTGCCATCGGCCGAGGTAATTGGTCCATGCTCCTTGTTCGATAACGCTGAGATAACATTGCAAACTCGCCTATGTCAAAGAACAAAGGAAAAAAAATAAACGTGATACCGAAGGCGGAAGATGGTTCACACGGGCGGTATTAGTGGGGCGTTGTATACCAGATATCCTGAGGAAAAGAAAAAGTGGACGCCCTGGCTGTGGATTCTTGCCTATTTTGATTGGGACCCCCACACACAACATGCATAATTTGCTGATGCTGATTCTGAAGAGAGCACTTTTCAGAGTCTTTTGAGAGTTGGTGCAAATACTGGGCTATGGAATCGAGAGACTCCTACTACTTCTTCTCCATTTTCCATGCGTGATGTTCTTGCAAAAAATAAGCACTGGGTACGCGCGTATGATGTAGCTACAGTGCCCGGAGCTTTCTAGAAGCACCACCATAAACAAGAAGCTTCTAACGCTATTTCCACATCTCGCAACCCCAACAGCCATATAATCACTCTGTAACTATTTGATTCTGTACTTCTCAATGCCATTCATGCAACCATCAAAACTTCTAGCTCAAATTCTACGCGTGCAGCGACAACCAATTTTCTATCCATCAAGCGCTCCTCGCATAAACGCAAAAACCTCACTCACAACTCCATTCACCTCTCACCTCCACCTCGAATCCCAGCACCACACCCGCAACATGTCTTCATCTGCCCCTCCACCCCCACCACCATCCGAACAAGCAAAACCCACAAACACCCAAGACACCTCCCCACAAAACCAAGACCAAGCATCCACCTCAGCAGCCCCCCTGCCCCTCCCCTCACCCTCCACAAACGACAACACGACCCAACTCAACGTCGACGGCCAAGCAGTCAAACTCGACCACTTGGGACCGCTCGTGGTGAATAAAGATGGCACTCTATCGCGCATTGCGAATTGGGAGTCCATGGCCGAGATTGAGAGGCAGAACACACTGAGGATTTTGGTCAAGAGGAATCAGGTTAGGTTAGGGGCGTTGAGGGGGGAGGGGGGTGAGGGGGGTCAAGAAGGGGGGAAGTGAGGGTGAGAGGAAGAGGAATGCAGGGGGATTATGAGGGTTGGAAATTGGGGGTGTTAATGTGTGGGATGAGGGTGAGGTTGTGGAATCGAGGGAAGGGGGATGAGATGGAATTTTGAGGAAATGGGGTTAGGACAATAAGGTAGATTTGGGGGTTTCCAAGCGATGATGATTTTGAATTGGAATTTCAAGTCGATAAGTCGGGATTAGAATTTCATGTTAGCAAGTCAAAGCTAATGTGTTCAAGCCAATAAATTAAGTTAATGAGATCAAGTTATGGCTCCATGTCAGCAAGTGAAGCCAATATGTTTAAGCAAATGAATAAAGTCAACGGATCCCAGTCATGATTTCATGTCAGCAAAGTCAAGCTAACACATTCAAGTCGTAACGAGTACGTCGTTATCATTCTTCTCCACACACCCCATCTATTTACAAGTGTGTTTTCTCTTCTCCCCTTTCTCACACCAACCCCATCTATGGCTTCTGGGTGCTGGTGTGCGTGTTGCGCTCATGGTATGACCACTGGCCTTCTGGCGCTTGCTCCTCAAGAGGCTCCCATCTATGTATCGTTAGACCATACTCCTTTCTGAAAAAAATACAATCAACAAAAAAACAAACTTACACCTTTGCTTGGATCATAACATCAACAAGCTTGTGCTCGCCCTCGGCAACTTCGATAACCTCTTCAATCAGACCTGCGCCCATTCTGCTCTCAAGATCCGAGATGCTATAAAAACGTCAGCTTCCCGTCTTGGTATTCCACCTCGCCATCCATGACATACGCTTCAACAGTGTACTGAGGCTCGGGCTCAAACTTGATCTTGCTAAAGGCGCGCTCGGGCGTGTAGTTGACGTCGCCCTTCATCTTCTTGGCGTGGGGCAGGCGCTCCTCGGATGAGCGAATGCCCTCGGGGAAAGTCTGTACTGCTTCGCCATCCCACTCTGCGACCTTGTCTCTCTCGTCAACAGAAGGTTGCGGGGGGAGAACCACAGTCTGTCCGTTGGCTGTGTTGATGACTTGGAAGTTGTCCGGGTCATCGCTAATCTGCAGCTTGATTCTTTCCTGCCATGCGTCCCATCCTGCGGGCTTGGACTGCTCGACAATAGCAAGGCGGTGCTTGGTCAGGGCCTCGGTAGACTGGCGGTATACGGACGACTCGGGGAGCTGCTTGAGCTTGTCGAGAGTGGCGTTGTAGTGGTAGAGCAGGGTGGAGCGCGGCGCCGGGTGGGTGAAGAGTCCTGTGAGGCCGGTTGGCGCGCCGGGCTCGAGGAATTGGCCGGGCTTGACGCTGGCGAGGAGGCGGAATGCGGCCCTCATGTTTGCGGGGAGAGGATTGGAGGCGGGGTCGTGGCGCAATGGATAGCTTGCGTGCGCGGTGCTGATGCCGTCAGGACGAAGATGCAACTTGCCAAGCAATGTGGAGCCGGGGCGGAGAGACAGCCGTCCCATGTAAGCGTTCAGGGACAATATACTTTTAGCAACACAGTTCCCTCTTGGTGTCACCACACAACCTCACAATCGAACTTTAGGGGCCACGGGGATAAATACGTACGCTTGTTACAGCGTTTACAGCGCCCGTGAACGGCCATACTGAGGAGCCGTTCCTCTTCTGCGCATCCCGCACGCCGCCACCAGCGCCACCATGCGCTCCATACTCTACGCCCTACTGTCGCTGGCGACGGTAGCCTCCACTCTCGCTGCAGACGCACCAAGCGCCAATGATGTCGGCAAAGATGACGCCTGGGATGAAAAGGGCGCAGAGACCACCTTCAATGGCGAGAAGGTCCCGCCCATGATCGAGTTGACACCAACCACAATAGAGACGGAGACCAAGAAGGGCAACTGGTAAGTCGAGACAGACACTTGGTTCAGTCATTGATTTCACTGACACTGCCAAGGATAGTCGAGTACTTCTCGCCCTATTGCGGCCACTGCATGCACTTCAAGCCCATCTACCAGACCGCGTACGAGTTCTACTATACTTCGAAACCCTTTCTGTCCTCGGACGATACCGACAGCGATTCTCTAAACACTTTTACACGATACTATGACTTCAAGTTTGCCAAGGTCGATTGCGTCGCCTACGCTGATCTCTGCAAGGACCGCAAGGTTGAAAGTTACCCGACTCTGATGTTCATCCAGGACGGCGAGGTAAAGCAGAAACTTCGAGGCTCCAAGGAATTGAAGGACTTTAGCGATTGGGTAGAGGAACTTTTGGAATCCATTCGGCCTGGTACCCGCAAGGAGGGTGGTCCTAAGCTACCAAAGGTTGGCGCTACCTCTGTAGAGACTGGCCCTGATCCCAAAGAGGCTGGCGATGGCGACAAGAAAGAGAAGGAAAAGGAAAAGGTCGAGGACAAGAAACCAGCAGCTGCCAGTGCGAAGCCCAGCGCAAGCGCAGCACTCAAAGCAACTCCTACAAAGGAGACCAAGCCATCTCCCGCACCCGCCAAACCAGCCTCGACTGCGAATCCCTCTGGTACCGTCACAATCCTTACCGCAGACAACTTTGAGAAGCATGTCATCAGTACACTGGAACCTTGGTTTATCAAGTTCTATGCACCGTGGTGTCACCACTGTCAGGCTCTTGCGCCAACCTGGGCGAATCTTGCGCGCCAAATGAAGGGAAAGCTCAACATTGGAGAAGTCAACTGTGATGCCGAAAAGAAGCTGTGCAAGGAGGCACATGTCAAAGGCTACCCAACTATGCTCTTCTTCCGCGGCGGCGAGCGTGTCGAGTACCACGGCCTCCGTGGGTTGGGCGACTTGCTTGACTATGCTGAAAAGGCGGCAGCTATTGGTGCTGGTGTGCCAGACGTAACCGCCGAAGAGTTTAAGAAAATGGAAGAAAAGGAGGAGGTCATTTTCGTTTACTTTTACGATCACGCGACCACTTCCGAGGACTTTAAGGCGCTAGAACGACTTCCTCTTAGCTTGGTTGGTCATGCTAAGCTTGTCAAGACAAGTGACAAGGCCATGTTTGATCGGTTCAAGATTTCTACCTGGCCGCGGTTGATGGTGGCAAGAGATGGAAACCCGACGTACTACCCGCCACGGACGCCATTTGAGATGCGCGATGTCAAGAAGGTCCTTAGCTGGATGAAGACGGTCTGGTTGCCAATCGTCCCAGAGATGACTGCCCTCAATGCCCGCGATATCATGGATGGCAAGATTGTCGTTCTGGGTATACTAAACCGAGACCGTTCTGACGAATTCATTCTTGCCAAGCGTGAGCTGAAGAGCGCCGCGTTGGAGTGGATTGACAAGCAGGAAACAGCCTTTCAACTCTCCCGACAAGAGCTCCGTGATGCCAAGCAGCTCCGCATCGAAGAGGCAGAGGACAAGAATGACGAGCGTGCTCTCCAAAACGCAAAGAACATCCGTATCAACATGGATAAGATTGATCGTGTCCAGGTTGGCTTCGCGTGGGTTGATGGTATTTTCTGGGAGCGCTGGATCAAGACTACGTACGGTGTTGACATCAAAGACGGCGAGAGTGTCATCATCAATGACGAGGATGTAAGCTATCTGTCCAACTATCACTTCAAATCACACTTACTAACTCAATACAGAATCGCCGCTACTGGGACAGCACCATTTCCGGCGAGCCAATCCGCCTTTCCCGTGCCGCTATCTTGGAAACGATCAAAATGGTCACCGCCAACCCTCCCAAGATTGCTCCCAAGTCTTCAACTGGCCGTTTCATGAGCACTTACATATCTGTTCGCCACTTCATCGGCAACCATCCATTCATCTCATTGGGCATGTTTGTTGGTTTCTTCACGGCAATTATGCTGTTTGGCAAGTCGAGGCGACGAAGGCAGTTCGGTACCACGGGATCGTACTTTCAATTGGGCGAAAAGGACGGGCTATTGGGCGGTCTTGGTAATGGCAATTTTGGGGGCGCAAAGCATGATTAAGCTCCTGGGTAATGGCGTGCTTAGGAGGCTTCTTTGGCGTTCTTGGCGATACGGTATGTGTATTATACCTTTGGTTTGCATGGGGGTTTCAAAGTGTGGATGTATGCGGTGCGTGGTGTCAATATGAGCATCTGAATCTGATGATGTGTCGTTGGTCCTCAATTGCAATATCTATACGTCTTCAGTTTTGGTTATGAATATATCTTGGTTTATCAACGTACAACTCGCAAGGCTGTATTATATATGAATATGTCGCCATATCCCGTGTCAATTGCGACTTCCCCTCTATGTGTAACCGAACGCCTCTCACGCGCCCACGCGTTCCCGTCCTCGTTGCCCCGCCCACGCCAACCTTTTACGTCACCTACTGTAAACACCTTGGAAAGCCACAACCTACCCTCTTTCTTTGGCACCCCACGCTGTCCACGCTGTCCTTATCGCTCAGAATATAATCCCGTCCCCCTCTCCCGCCCAACCTGGCTCTACGACGCTTCCGCCTCAATCTACTACCACGCACTCGCAACCCCGCGCGCAGCCCCGCAGCAACAATGTCTTCAATCACACTCTCAGACCTCGAATTCATAGACCGCGAAACCCTCGCTTCAACTTTTACTCCCTCCACCTCTGAAGCCACAGGTGCACAGCCTAAACGCAGTCTCCCGGCCTCCACAGCTATCATCGACGTGCGCGACAGCGACCACATCGGCGGCCACATCCGAGGTTCCACATGGGTCCCCTCCAGCGATCTCGACTTCAAGCTACCCGAACTCCTACGCACACTACAAGACAAGGAGACTGTAGTTTTCCACTGTGCGTTGAGTCAGCAACGGGGTCCTAGTGCTGCGTTGAGGTATCTAAGGGAGAAGGAGAGAGTGGAGGGAAGTGGGGGAGTGGAGTCGAAGGGCGAAGTCAAGGAGGAAGGGGAGGGAGTGGAGAAGGCGGAGGAAGGGAAGGAAGGGGGGAAGAAGCAGAAAGTGGTGGTGCTTAAGGGGGGTTTTACGGAGTGGCAGGAGAAATATGGCATGGATGAGGAGTTGACGGAGGGGTATAAGAAGGATGTTTGGGAGTTTGGGTCGTGAGAATCACTTATATACATAACACGATATATATTATTCAAGTCAAGTCAAGTCAAACATCAAAAAGAACAAAAGAACAATGCTTTATACATTCGTAATAAGTAGCTGTTTTTTTTTAAAAAAAGGAGACTTAACAGCTCTGACCCGCTTGATCCTTAACCAAGCCCTCAAAATTCTTCCTCTCATGCTCCATAATCGCCTCAACCTTCTTCGCACTCGCACTCCCCTTGTCAAACCTATACCCCAACCACTCCCTCACCAGCCTCCTCGCCAACTCAATCCCCACAACGCGCTCGCCCATACACAGCACCTGCGCATCATTACTCAGGATCGCTCTCTCCACGGAGAAACTATCGTGCGCAGTGACGGCGCGGATCCCGGGGACTTTGTTCGCGGAGATGGCGACGCCAAGGCCGGTGCCGCAGATGAGCAGCGCGCGGTCTGCTTTTCCTTCAGCGACGAGTTGGGCGGCGGAGACGGCGACGTGTGGGTAGGCGGTTTTGTCGGACGAGGAAGGCACGCCGACGTCTGTGACGCTGGCGACGCGAGAGTCGGATTCGAGGTCTTTGATTAGTGTGTTTTTGTAGCCGACGCCTGCGTCGTCGCAGCCTACGACTATGCGGAGGGGGGTTTGGTCTGCCATTTTTTTTCTTCGAGGTTGGGATATGAGTGTGTTTTAGAGTTCAGAAGTGTCGTATTTCTTTTCTAGAGAGCGTCGCTTGGATTTGCTGACAATGTTTAGGTTGCTGGGTTCGTCGTGGTCGGAAGAGAGGTCGTCTTCTTCGTTGTTGCGTGTGACTCGTCCTTTTGATCGTGTTGTACCGGAGCTGGTGGTCGAGTATGTTATTTCGCCTTCTTTTGATACGACTTTTTTCCCGTCGAGGACGTTTTCAACGGCTCGATTTACGGTTTTTTCAAAGGGCTTCGTTACGAAACTTAGATCGGTATGGCCGTGGGTAGGTCCTTTTGTCTCAAGAACTTTGATGCGCTCGTCGCTGGGTTTGCTGTGGTCTTCGACTCTTTGATAGACGTGGTCGGCGTCTGTGTCGAGATTGAGGGAGAACAGAGCGCGTTTGGGTGGTGCCATCTTTTTTCTTCTTCGCGGGCGGCTCGGGATGCGGGTTTTTATATAAGATGCGGGCTAGATGCAACGATGGGGTCTTGTCTTCTCTCCGGTTGAATGAGGGGTTAAACACACGCCACGGGGGTTCCGTGGGTGATGCAACAGCCCAGTATGCGTGGAGGTGGGGACGGAAGTTCCGATTTGGGTATTCCGGCGGGGCGTTTCGCCGCGAGAAACGTCTGGTTTCTCGGCTGAGTGCCACCGAGAGCTGGGGTTAGATCTGGAGTTATTCCGAGGGTATTATGGTAGAAGCTTGATAGTAGTATCATGAGTTCCACTGTTCTATCAGAGAACATATACGACCATCACCTCAAGGCTGTTCACTAAGATCCAAGGACATAATCATAACAAGTTCAAGACTGCGTTCATTTTTTTACATACCCTTATTTCTCCATCTCCTCACTTCTCCCTCCCAAACAAGTCCTTCTCGACCATCTGTCTGCAGATTGGGTGATAAAAGTCCTTGTTCTTCTCGAACGTCTTGACCGCCAGATCGCGATTGGCTTCATTCAGCAGCCTGAACATGGGCCTCACAAACTTCATGCGACCAATTTGACCCAACAGCTCAGCCGATGGCTGATACGATTCCTCTACCTTGGCCATGAGCCCGATGCTCAAGTATCGCGATGATACCTCGATGTTTTGAGTAGTCTTGTAGCCGTAAGTTGCACCGAGCAAGTGGACGTTCTCAGCTGAGAATTTGCTTGCGAAGGATTGGAGACGCTCGAGGAAGACGACGGATTGGTTGGATACCCATCCTTCAATATCTGACACCTTGGGCTTAAAGTCGCCCGAAGACGAGACCAGCGCCTCCCACTTGTCCGCCAACTCATAGCAGCTCTTGACCATAGTCTGGTCAAAGTCCGGCTTGACTGGGTAGCCAGGCGCGTAGAACAGCTTGTCCCAGTCAAAGCTATCCAACTTTGCCTTGGACTCTGCATCCTTCTCGAAGAAGTTTATCAGACAGCTCTTGAAGTCGTAGCTGTCTACACTCTTGAACTTGAACGTATCAAAATAGTGGGGAATGAACGAATCCCACTTGTCCTTTCCGAGCAGCAGCTCAAACTGGTACAGGGCATGAAACCCCTTTTCGTATGGAATAGAGGAGAATGCATCATCCGGATCTTGACCCTTGAGGTCCAGGACCAGCTTGGTGTAGGGGTGGTCTTTTCCATAATTCTCAATGCTTTGCTCAAGCGCTTTCCAGCCAATGATAGCAGAGAAATGGCGGTGTGCCTCTCCGTGAAGGGCAGCAGCGATTCTGCGTTCCAAGTACGTAGTCCAGCCTTCGTTCAACCAAAAGTGCTCCCAGCTGGCGGCACTAACGAGGTTTCCGGACCAAGAGTGCGACAATTCGTGGGCAATGACATCAACATTCTGCTTGTCCCCCGAGATGATGGAGGGTGTGGCGTAGGTCCAGACGGGGTTTTCCATACCTCCGTATGGGAAGGACGGGGGCAGAATGAGTACGTTGTATTGTCCCCACTGGTAAGCAGGCGAAACAATGGACTCGAGCGCCTTCATGAAAGGCTCGATTTCTCCGTCGAGCTCGTCCTTGCACTTGAGAAGCTCTTCAGGGCCAGTCCAGACGGTGCTGCGCGGACCGATGCTGGCGGATGCCAAATCACCACTTGCAACAGCAAAAAGATAGACAGTCATTGGAACCTTCTGCTCAAACGTATACTTCATAGTGCCACTCTCGCCATCCTTCTTGGGTGCCTGGTAGTCAGTCGCGCCCGTTGGCAGACCCGAAGCAAGGACTGGCAGTGGCGAACGAAGGGCAAAGCTAAAGGTGGATTTGACGTCTGGAGTATCCTGGCAAGGAAACACTGATCGTGCGTGAATTGCCTGGCATTGTGAAAACATGTACGGGTGCTTCTTGTTTGATGTTTGAGCGGGCGTCATCCACTGCAGTGCCGTGCATTTGTCAGTAGTGGCAACCTTGATCTCAATATCAACCGTTTTGCCCTTTGGCACCTGAGACGGGAGAGTGATGGAGAGCGGGCTACCATATGGCTCTACACGGTCGCCAACGTTGAATTTGACGCTCTTGCCTTCAACCTCCACGACGGAGATGTCCAGGTAGCTTGTTTCGTTAGTAATGCGTTTGGCTAAATTGCTATTTCCCTTGCTCAGACATACCTCGCATCTAGTACAACCTCTTTCACATCCTCATCTGTCAAACACTCCAACGTAAGCACCACACTACCGAAGAGCCTCTTGCGCTCAAAATCAATGTCAAAATCCACGCTCGTATGCCTTGTCACAAAATTGTGATAATTGGACAAGGTGTTGGGGTCCCGCGGTGTGCGAATTTCAACACGCGGGTCTGAGCTAGATCCTGTTGCCATGGCTGCGGCGGCGAGGTGCTGTGTCGTTGCGAAGCGTGCTCTTTGGGTTTGCGATATCTGACGTGTGTTGGAGGTGGGATGAGGCTGTCGTTGTTCGGTGGCTGGGCACAACAACAGTGGCAGAGACAATGTGCGAGTGAGGGCGGGACGACCAGCTGATAGAGTCAGGTATCGAGCAAGTCGGGGTGGAGTAACTTCATATGCCGATCGATGCCGCAGGGCAACAAGCGACCTGCCTAATGCACTTTTGACCAACATCTAGGATACCCACGTTTGCAGACTGATATTAGTGCTAGACGCCAGAAGCCGAGCACCAAATTGTGCACGTGCAAGTGTGTTTAGCGCATCTTGATCCTGTCCCGCTATGGGTTCGGTGGAGGTGCACGGTGTTCGGCAATCCGACCAAACCCGTCTTTATATTGAATTCTACACAGATGTACTTTTTACGCCTATGCTTTTACAGCCGATCCAACCTGACTTGAAGGTAACGATAAGTACAGGAATGACGAGACGCTGTACAGAAACAATGCATTGCAAATACGCAGGACCACACCGGAATCCGCACTAAGCTATAAAACCATGCATGCAGCTATAAACTCCAACCCCAACTCCGAAGCTGCTTGATTGCCGCTTAGTCTTTCTTGTTTCCTTCGCTCTTTCGTGCCCTTTCTCTGAGCACGAGATTGATATCTGGTCTGGCAGATTGATACTGCTGAGCAGACCTTGACGCTGAGCGCTCATCGGTCGAAGCGAGCGTCTCTTCGGCTCGTGACCTGCCCCTGTTGCGTTCTTCGTCTCCAATTTCGAAAGCATCATCTTGCAATTCTATGAGGTCACCCAAATCGCCGCCGACAGCTCCAATTACGGGTACAGCAGACCGTTTGCCCTGTCCGGGGGTGCCTGGTTCATTCAGAAGCTTTTGCGCTTGTGTACCGACCTTCCTCACCCAACCCTCTATTGCACCACCTAATTCCTGGAAGTCAAGACCAGGACCGCCAAGTGGCGTAACAGCTCCGGAACCACCGTATTGACTCGGTGTTCCTGCACCCGCATCTAGTAAACTTGGCGCCCATGGTGTAAAGTATTCTTGGCCGGGTGGTGGCGCCACATTCGGTAGATACTGAGCAAACTTCTTGTTCAGACCATCTTGCGCAGGCCCTGGGCTTCGTACATTTCTGCCCAATGTGCCTACACCACCGGGGCCTTGCAGAGCCCAGGCTTTGCCTGACGTACTTCTTTGTCGACTGTGCGCTGAGGTCGAGGAAAGATTACTTGATGCACGCGGCCTCACGGGTTGAGAAGGAGAGCTCGTGATGGGATTTGTCGACGTGGACGAGCGAGGGACATCGACAGATGGTCGAGGCGTAGAGGCGTCTGAGTAAGCAAGAGACTTTCGCCGGGCTGGCGGAAAGAAACCCAACGCTCTACGTGGCATCCGGGCAATCTCTGTTGGTTGTCTCTCGTTAGGTAGTAGTACCCAAGAGTCATGCTTCCATGGCGGTTCTGGATCAGAAGAAGAGGTAGTAGTAGAAGTGTCCTGGTTCTTTTGTTTTGGTGAACTCCAACCATTGGGGAGTCCCTGCGTGTTCGCAGCCGAATCCTTGCTATTTGAGCTATCGGCATATTCCCCTAGCAGGAGGTCTTCTGTAGGAAGCGCATCTGGCCCTTGTACTGGTCGTCCCTTGACGCCACAAGCATCTACTGGTAGCACAACTTGCTTCTTGATCTGTATGCTGTCGTTTGGCCACATGCGATTCGCTTTGCGTAGTACCGCCTGCTCACAATTGTATTTAATGCTTAGCCCTGCCAGGGTGTCCTGTGGTCGGACATGGTGGATGTATACGAGTGCGTCTTGATCGTCATTCTCAGCGGCAGCCACGGAAGTACTTAGGTCCTCGTCTGAGTTTCTGCGCTTTATGCGGCCCACAGAGTCTGGCGCTAAATGTTCGTTGGCAGTCAAGAGGTCCTTGCGCTTCAATGCCCTGACCATAGCCTCCCTCTCCTCATGTGTTCCGGCTCCCACATGCGAACCGGCGCCTGCGGGGCCCCAGTGCTTCGGTGGAGGTGCGCTCGTCGATGTGCGGCGTCCGTGACCGGATTTTCTCTTGCGGGTACCCTCTGAGGTGTCGCTAGCCATGACGGTGGCTGCGATACCCTGGATAGCCGACCATGAGTTCCCCAGAAGCCCCGACAATGCTAGTGAGGGCGATTTCAGAGGCTGTGCGCTCGGAGAGCGCTGAAAGGAGGATAAAGGAGTGGAAGTTATGTTGAGACGAGAAGATGAGGCGGTTCCCGTACGTGAAAGCGAACCGGGAGAGGCATTCCGCGAGGGTAGTCTCGAGGTACTCCTACTCGGGCCACTGTCGCTCCCGTCGGTCGCGTAAATGTCATCTTCGACCGATATCAGCCTCTTGGTTCTTGGCCGCAGGGTCGAGCCGCTCTGGGAGGTGGATAGTGAAGAGCCATTGGAGGGGTTCATGGCATGCGGACGCCAGGCGGAGTGGGTAAGGGTGGTGCTGCATAGGCCAAATGATTGGAGTGATCGGGAAGCCGCATGACATGAGGGTTATGGGAACATTGCGCGGGTGTCGAGAGCAAGAGCTGGGTGTGTTGTGAGTATGTGTGTGGGCGGATGCCGGGGTGTCGTGAGTCTCGAATAGCTGGGGAAAGGAAGCGCTACGTAACGTAACCGGAGTTGGACCCCTTCAATCAAGCACGGCCCTGCACTGTGCCGCCCAACCGCCAGAACCTGCGATGCCAAGTCACTAGGAGAAGACGTGCAATGCGCCCAAATGAAGTTGATACGTAAGTAATTGCGGCTTACTAGGGCCCTCGTACCTCTAGGTCACTATGCACCGCCGCGTGACGATAAGGACAGATAACGATCGGCTTGGTACCAAGCCATATTCGGGCCATTTGAGTTGCGAACCTTCACTGTGCACTTGCTTTAAGGTAAAGAATCGAGAATTGACATGTTAAATCACTCATTGCTAGTGCTTATATGTATTCATCTCTACAGCAAAGTCATTGCCATCTGATGGCTTTGGATCATCTGACCGCTTGGAAAGCAAACGCCACACACTACTAATACACCCTGCACCGAACATACAAAAGCGTTTCATCAATCATCATACTGCAAAGAACACCGAAAAAGGCAGACCATCACTTAGTGGACGTGTAAGTGTGCTGGTCATCGGAAAGGACTGGAGCTGGTTGTCGGATCCACATCTTCAAACTCCAGCTCAAAGGCATCAACCTCCTCAAACTTTTTTCTTATCGCAGCCAGCTTCTCAGAATGCTCAATCGCAGATACCTCTGTCGTCTCTGCTTCGTTCTGGGCCCCAGTCTCATTCTCCTTGTCCGAAGAAATCCTACGACTGTAAGTCCTACTGGACTTTTGTGCGGCTTTTGATGCTTTCGCCTGTCCAGCCTTCTTCCCGCGCGCTGTCTTCTTTGTTGCCTTTGGTGATGCCAGCTTTCCAGCGCCTTGCCGCTGGCGGATCCTTCGCTCGGGCATCTGCAACTCGTCTTGGTCTGAGTCGGCTTGTTCAGCATCTTCCGAGGATTCGATATCAAACTCGTCACGATCACGTAAACGATTGCGCCGACGAGGCAGCAGATCTTTGAGCTGTGCGGTTGAAATACTTTGGTCTGCCTTCTTTTTGGACGCCCGTTTAGCTTTTGCGGGCGTTTCGGTCTCTTCGCCTTCGGACTCATCATCTATCACTGGTGTTTTGGCTCGCTGTCCTCTACGACGTGGTCGGGCATGTGTCGGTGATGGCGGGGGCCTGGATATTTCTCGTAATGGACTGCTTGACATGGGAGATGCCAATGTGTCACTCATGGGCTCTTGGTTCTCCTGGGTTTGCTCAACGACTTGTCTACGTGGTGTTGCGATTTCTGGTAAGCTGGGAGATTGAGATCTTTCCGGCTCCGTGTCACTTGCAGACTGTGGACTGGCTGGGGGTGACGATTGTGGTACCTGGACTACTGGCGACAGTTTCCGCTTTCTGCCACGGGAACCAGAGCTAGAAACGTGAGTGCCACTATCATTCCGTGCCTCTTGTTCAGGCGCATGCCTTCGCACATTGAGGGGCGTTGATTCGGCGTGTGGGAGGAAGTCGTCAAAGTCGAGATTGTCAGTATCGTCCAGACTATCATCGTCGTTATCCTCGACGTCTGTCGTCTGTTGTACCATGCGCAGTAAGCTTGGCTGTCGGGCTCTCCGCTTGAAGTTGGTCAAAGCTAGGATTGATCTCTCATGTGCAGGTGTCGCGCCGACTTTGACAGCGGATGGTGGGCGTGTGCCGTGAGCTGGAGAGTTTGAGCCGAGTGATGAGAAAGTCAGATCGCCAAAGCCGCTGTCCTCTTCTGCATGTGGACTTTCAGCCTGGATGTCTCGTTGCGCAGGTGCAGTGACAGCAGGCGATGATTTCCCTGTAGACTTCCTAGCGCTACTCCTGCTTGTTCGGGCTCGCTTGGAAGCGCTGGACCCTGGTGTGCGATTCTTGCTTGATGATTCTAGGACTTGTTGTTGTTCTTCTTCTTCCGCTGGCAACGCGCCAGTCATTGTGAGCTCAGCTTCGTCATGAACCTCTGGTGTCTTCTCTCCCGGCATTTTTCTCCGTGATCGCGTTGATCTGGTCCTGGTAACAAGACCATCGCTATCCTCGCTGAGGTTGTTGACTGGTTCACTAATTTTCTTGGTTGGTGTTGGGATGGATTCCGCTTGCTGCTTGACCGCGGGGGCGGCCTTTGGCTTGCTCGGCTTCGCGACACGCGACGCGACTTTTGCTCTAGGTGGACGAGGCATTGTCGCAAGCGATCAGTATGACTTTCTGGTGGCAATGATTATCTGGCGCAGCCGAGAGAGGGTGTGGGAGGTCAGCTCAGAATGGGCGGCGACCGTGCGATAGCGATGGTGACGAGGGCGCGTCAAGGTCGTGACGCACTGAATTCACCATCTAGCGTGGAGCTAGACGCGCCGAAGGGTTGGGTCACGTGTACGCAACCTGTAGTAGAACTTTGTCAGGTTGAGAAGCAGGTTGACTCATGCTCTTTTCTTGCAAATCAGCCGTGCAGATTAAAAAAAAGGAGTATTGCTTGCATTGACAGGCTGCAGCATTGAGGGCCCACGTAGGGTGCGTTAGGGGGGCTCAAGGCAACGACGGTAGAAGCATCGTACATAACCTGGATGAGCTGCCCCAACACACAGGCTACAATCCACGATCCAACACGACTATCACTTTGTGCAATTCAAGATCAGCTTACTTCCAGCATGACCACTCCTAAACCTCTAGAGTACTCGGCTGATTTGCAGGAGTTTGCCATTCCTGCACCAGCGTACTTGAGTCAACATCCCCAACATGATGTCCTGGTCACTGGAGCAGTGGTGTTTGACAAGGATGGCAAGCTTCTGCTGGTACAACGTGCAGCCGATGAAAGAGCGTTTCCCGATTTCTGGGTAAGTTTGCGGAGGATAGATGTTGCTTTTGATTGGCACTGTCACATGCCAAGTGCGACGAGTGGAGATTAACAAACAACAGGAGATTCCCGGGGGCAAGGTGGAAGATGACGACGAAACAATTCTACATGCTGCGGCACGGGAGTTGAAGGAAGAAACGGGACTTGGGGCGACCCGGGTGCTTCGAAAGGTGGCGCAGTTTACATTTGAGGACGAGAAGCCCGGTCGGCCGACGACTCGGTGGTTGAAGCTCATTTTCGAGATGGAGGTGGAGCATGCTGACGCCGTCGTACTTGACCCGGTGGAGCATCAGCGGTTTGTGTTTGCTTCTGAGGAAGAGGTCGTCAATGAGCGGGCGGGCGAGATAGTGTTCAAATACATCAACGCGACGAACAAGGCGGTCAAGCTCGAGGCTTTCCAGCGCAGAGGGGAGGCCCAGCCGTCTTGATCGGTGTCGATTGTCATTTACTAGCGGACGTCTGAACTTAGTATGTGATCCTTCACCCAGGGGCCGCAGCATGTGATGGCGGCCCCGTCGATAAGCGACGGGACATGCGTAGGCAGGCATGTATGCATGGAGACAATGGCCTGCAGGTGCATGCTTGGACGGCGCTGGGCGGGCGTACATGGCCAGATGGTGCATCACAAGCGCAACTGGGAACGAGTGAAGGCGGCCAGGCATGTCTCCGACCTGAAACCCATCGCACGCTTATGTAATTGCCAGGCCGAGTAGGAGGACAGGCAGCACAGTAAGTATGTAAAAAGCACAGTCGCGTGTGTGGCAGCTGTGATCTGATCGCTGCTTTTGCCGCAGACTTCCGTGCACCCCAGCGCCCGCACTAGTCGCTACCTACCGCAGAAGACGACCAGACGGCGGGCGAATCACAACATCATCCCTCGACGACGACAACGCTGAGTGAGATCGAGACGGCGACGACATGGCGGCCGAGCACTCCTTCATGGCCTCCGCAGTGCCTGCAGTGCCTGCAGCGCCGCAGCCGCTCGCAGCCCAGCCCAGCAGTAATGCGTCTCCGTAGGTGCTGTCGCGCGCCCTTCGAGTACCGCATGCTCATGATCGTATAGGCCGTCCACAACACCACAGTCGCAGGCTGCCTCCGCCGCTGCTGGCCCAGGACATCCCTCGTTCCGCCGACAACGCGCCAGCCGGGCGTGCGAAAGTGAGTGCAACACCCGTCTGCGCAATCCCCTGACGCGCGAGAGAAGATGCTGTCGAGGTCGGTGGGATAGTTGAGAGGGCCTGCACGAGCCTCGGCACCTCGGTCAACCACACAAGAGACGACGATTGCTAACCACGACGCATCGCAGCATGTCACGCCAGGAAGGTGAGCACTTGGTCGCCATATCTGCCCCGCTGCCGCCACTAAGCTCACGATTACAGGTACGATGCGACGCTGCCTCGCTCGGCATTCCCTGCACCAATTGCACCGCCTTTGGCATCGAGTGCCGCATTCCCCAGCCTAAGCGCAAGAAGACACAGACGGCCCGCGCAAAGGACGCTGAAAGGTACCATGACTGCACCCCCAACCATCTACACACAAACCTGCCTGTACAAGCCTGACGCTACACCAGTGAGCGAGGAGACAGCGACGACCGCTCCCCAGCGAGCACCTCGGTCGAGCCGCGCGAGAGATCAACCGTGTTCAACGCCGAAGATGGCACCCCGTCCACCACCGTTTCGTCTGCCTACGCCGCCCAGCAGGCCACCCATAATGGAACCTATGTGCAATTCATGAAACCAAAGTTTGCCAGGGCCCCGATCAAGGAAGCTGGCCGTGTAGCATATCTGGGCGAGTCTTCCAACCTGTCGCTACTTGTCCACGACCGCTACGGCACCACCGATGTCGTCCACTATCCCCTGCCCGAAAATGTGCGAGGCGCAAAAGCAAGAGTTAATGAGATGGACAACATGGAGATTGAGATACTACACCAACGGGGTGCTTTCCTACTTCCCCCGCGCGCTCTGTGTGACGAACTCGTCGAGGCCTTTTTCAAATGGGTAGCCCCCGTCGTTCCTGTGATCAACCGCAGCCGCTTCATGCGCCAATACCGCGATCCCAAGAACCCCCCTTCGCTTCTCCTGCTACAGGCCATACTCCTCGCAGGCTCGCGTGTCTGCACAAACGCACAGTTAATGGACTCCAGCGGCTCGACAACGCCCGCCGCAATGACCTTTTACAAGCGCGCAAAGGCCCTCTACGATGCCAATTTCGAGGACGATAGGGTCACCATTGTTCAGGCGCTCATTCTCATGGGTTGGTACTGGGAGGGACCTGAGGATGTGACCAAGAACGTCTTCTACTGGACAAGAGTGGCAATCGTAGTAGCTCAGGGCTCAGGCATGCACCGAAGCGTCGAAGGCTCGCAACTATCCCGATCTGACAAACGCCTATGGAAGAGGATTTGGTGGACATTGTACAGTCGCGACCGTTCAGTAGCTGTCGCACTTGGCAGACCAGTGGCCATCGATCCCGAAGATTCTGATGTAGAGATGGTATCAGAAGACGACTTTATTGACGACGAGACGGACCACCTTGCAGAGTACCCACCAGATCCGATCCATGTCCAATTCTTTATCAACTATGTCAAACTGAGCGAGATTATGGGACTGGTGCTGTCGCAACAGTATTCGGTCGCGTCAAAACATCGCAGGTCAAATGCTATTGACCTCACTCACAGTGACATGGCTCTTGCCGATTGGCTACAACACTGTCCACCCGAAGTGCAGTGGGACCGCAGCCGTCACCATTTCTGGGCTGCCTTGCTCCACTCCAACTACTAGTAAGTTTCCCCGCTACATGTAAATAACCTAGTCTAACACCAGCAGCACTACTTTGTGTCTTCTGCACAGAGCACACATGCCGCCGGCAGGCTCACCAAAGGCCAACAATTTAGACGGTTTTGGCGAAGAGCATGCCTACCCTTCAAGAAACATTGCATACCAAGCAGCTGCCATGATTACTTCAATTATCGAAAACCTCCGAGCTCACGACGAGATACGGTATACACCGGCATTCATCGTCTACAGCTTGTTCTCGGCGCTCATCATGCATGTATATCAGATGAAATCCTCAAACAAGTCCATCGTCTCGGCGACGGAGCAGCGACTGCAGATTTGTCTAGATGCTCTCAAGGAGGTCTCGAAAGTCTGGCTTGTTGCAAAGATGGTCCATACCTTGTTCGAGTCCATTCTTGGCAACAAGCATCTTGAGGAGCGTTTGCAAAAGGCTGCGGGTAGGAATCACAAGAAAAATAAGGTTCCTTCTGCGCCGCCAATACCACCGCCACCACCGAAACCTGCCCAAGAATCGTCTAAACGCAAATTTGATGACATGGACTTGGGCTTTCCAGTCCCGAGCGGCCCTCCAGCGGCGCAGGTATCCTATGAGCGATCAAGACCACAGACTCCCGCAGTTACACCCTCTCGCGATTTGCAGCCTCAGCAACAGATGCCCCAGATGAGTACAGGATCACCGCAAATGAACCGGCAAAACCAAGACGCTTTCATGGGACCATCACGATCGGGAACACGCCCTACAACCCCATTCAACCCATCGTATTCTTATCCTGGCACGCCGCCAGATCTTTTCCTCATCACCCGCGACACACCAAACATCAGCCAGGAGGTCTGGCAGAATTTCCAACCAGATCAATTGTTCCCTGCTGATACTCAAGTCAATTTCCCACAAATGTCGCCAATGCAGAATCACAGTCTTGTAGATCCTGCGTTAAGTCAGCCCCAAAATATGTCTATTCCCCAGCATTCACAGCAGCAGGCCGCGGGCGGTCAGCAGTCGATCCCACCCGCGCAGGCCAATGTAGGCATGTCTTCAGGGTACGAGAACAACAGTAATCAAGCTTGGCAACAGCAGGTGGAGATGATGTCTCAAAATCAACAACAGCACGGTGGACAGGACGATGCTTGGAGCAATAGTTCTGGGGGTAGACACAATCCCATTGTGCCCATGAGCCTGAATGTAGATGACTGGTATGTTGTGTTTCTGATATTGTTCTTCACTCCGCTGACGTTCTGGAATAGGTTCAACTTCTTTGGCATCAACGGCGAGACTGACATGTCACACCTGTTTCAACAAGGTCCTTCATAAACCTTTTAATTATATGCAGCATATTGTGCATTTTCGAGTTGGCGTAGTAGCTAGGCGCCATTTTGCAGAAGAAAGCATCTCAAGGCGTTTAACGAGTCCGCGTCCTATGGACGTGTCTCTTCCTAGTCTGGGCTGTAAATGTAGCTAGGATAATCTGTATACCATATCAAAATAACCAATTCATAAGATTTAAGCTCATCTGGTCACGATCAAGTCCTTCATCTACGTCTTGTCTACGCGCCACCATTCAATGCCTTGAAAGATTGGCGTCTGCTTGGACTGGCTCAGTATGTTCCAGTAGGATTCAAATGCTATGATAATGTTGTAATCTGTGGTTTTTTGTTGAAATGCTCGCCTAGGGAGGAGTGTATCGTCCCTGGTTGGGTTTGATACAATCTACCAACTTCACCTGACTTAGCAGAATGACAACACATCCTGAAATTAATTAATAGAAACATGCACACTATGACAAACCTGCACTAATGTTTCCAAGCTTACAGGCCTCAGTGCTCGATACTTTGCGGTCGCGGCGGATGATCCACCGGTTGCCGCTCCCCGCATTTGGTTCTATACCTAGTTTGGCCTAGCACACTTTGGCTTTCGGAACCTCCAACATCATGCACGCGAGACGGACCAGAACAACGTGAGCCAGACGCATCCACGTACACAGGAGTTGGCTAGCAATACTGGAATCAGGTTTGTGACAATTTCTTAGCGCACAACTCTTGTCGGTCCCCTTGCTCCCCCTTAATCTGTAAAGCCCGAATTGGAGTCGCACCACGCCGCACGTCGCAATCGAGCTACCGTCATTGCGCCTTACGGTCTCACCCACGAAGCAGTTGCATCATCACCAGTCCCCTTTGTCGCTGCTATCACCACACGTGCCCTGTAAAATTTCCTGCCTCTAGTATTGTTGCCTGCAGCGCAGCTCCAACTCTAGTATTTTGATAACACCATACTGACTACCCTTTCACTATAGATTAGAGTCCAAAACCACGACGACGTACGTCTTTGGCGATGTTTCAAGCACAACAGAATCAGGGCCGCGGGGCACCCCTAGGCGCGAACCGGTTACAAAACGGAAAGATGGGTGAGAATGCTCTTGAAGGGACAGATACATCAGTAGGCTGACCTCGGTTTGCGGGCAGGAGGCGGGTCTCAATGGGGATTTGGAGCCCCCATGGGCGCACCGGGACTATCAAACGCGCAAACAAGGACAAACAATGGTGCCATGTCAAGCTTTGCGCAAGCAATGGGTGGTTCGCAGCCACATACGCCGCTAAATCTTGAGTAAGCCTACCTTTACAACGACGAAGAAGACACAAAAGGGCTGTGGGGCAAGAGGAAGCCTGAGATGTGGAACATGGTGGAATATGAGAAGCACGATTTGGATGTTGACAATTACAGGGAGTTCCCCTCGTTATCAGGCGCACCGCAAACGCAGCAAAATACGTCTGCGCAACAGATGTGGGCAAACCCGACGCTACGAACAACACAGCAGAATCAACAAAACACGATAGGAAGGCCACAAGGGCAAGGCCAACAGCAAGGTCAGGGACAGGCTGGGCAAGCTTCGAATCAGCAACATCAGAACCAGGGCCAGGATGATTCGTCGCAGAGCCAGTTTTCGGGAGCCGGCGATGACTACCGATTCGGCGGACAGGGGGGTGTCGGTCAACTTGGAGGTGTCCAGCCGCAGACAGGCAACATTGACGAGTTTCCACCGTTAGGTGGCGGTGGCGGAGACATTGCCCCGGATCGAAGAGCGGGGTTAATACAGAATGCTGCGGCATTTGGAACCAACGCGAATGCTTTCCCAGGGCTCGGGCAAACACGGAATGGCCTTTCAAGTCCGACGGACAGCCAGCAAGATCGGGGCATCAATCCCACTGTAGGTGGAAGGGGCCTTCCAGGTGGAGGTAGGCAAATGCAAAATCGCATGCAGCTCCAGTCACTCACGCAATCAGCATCACGAACGCCATTTGAGAACATGCGAGCAGGCAACCCTTCAGATGTATGTGCCTTATGGGATGAAGTAGTGCGCTAGCTAACAATATGAAGAGCAACCAACGGACAGCCCAGTCTGGCAATATGTTCTCCCTGGGTCATCAGATAGGAATGCGGAGTGGTGGTGACCTTGCTCCGGGCGCTCAACGGGCCCAGCAAGGCCAGTTCGAGCAGACATTTGGGGCTGATGCTATGGGCTCACCAAATGCTCAGAGTATGCCACACAAAAAGCTATCCGAGATGACCGACTCAGAACGATATGGATTGCCCGGCCTTTTATCTATGATTCCGATGGAGAGCCCTGATTACTCCACCCTAGCCATGGGCCAAGATTTGACTGTTCTGGGTTTGGATTTGAGTCGACCTGAGTGAGTGCCTTTCCACGCATTGAATATTCTCGCTAACAGCGCCTCTAGCAACTTGCCACTACATCCAACATTTGGTTCACCCTTTGTCGAATCAAACGTCAAGCCAGTAATACCGCCAGATTTCACCCTTCCAGCAGCGTACACGGTGACAAATGTGCCACCACTCCATTCCAAGATGACGAGTTTCTCAGCAGAGACGCTCCTCGCCATCTTCTACCAGTACCCAAGAGACATCCTACAGGAAATTGCCGCACAAGAATTGTACAACCGCGACTGGCGATGGCATATCAAGCTCCAGCAGTGGATGATGAAAGACCCAGATCTGCCAGCGCCCATCCGTCTCTCACCAAAGGAAGAACGTGGCTGGTACCTCTTCTTTGACGTCAACAACTGGAGAAGAGAGAGGGTGCGTAATCTCTTGTGTCTATTTTGAAATATCTATAACTGACATGAAAAACAGAGAGAATTCGAACTCAACTATGATCACCTCGATCAACGCCACGGCAGCCCTGCAATGACGGGACAGATGTAGGGCGCCCGTGACGCTCAACGGGCAACAACTGTATAGTTATGATGTATGTAGCAAAGGGCATGTGGCTGCTCTAGTGAGAAGGATTCTGTAATTGCTGCATTGTAAAGAATGAGAAGCTCCTGATGTGCATTGTCGGGTTGTTCATGATTTGATTTCTATTTCTTGCGTGTTCTGTTGTGATGTGATGTGATCCAATGAATGATTTCTTAAGTGACTGTGCATGCATGCACCCTTTTTTGGCTTCACAAGTCCGAGATATTTACATTGTTCAATCCACCTTACTCATTCAACACCAACACTGCTCTACACCTTTGCTACTTTTTTTTTATTCTGCCATAGCAAAGTCTTCTCATTATCTAATCGGAACTACACCCATGACCCTCAAGTCCTCGGAAATACAGAGCCTAAATCGCCATAGTGCTAGTACTGGAACTACTAATCCATATTTCTTCTACATCATCCCTCTAGTTTCAACATCGAGCAACAAAAGCAGCACATCAGTATCTCCCATCTATTTACACACACACACACACACACACACACACACACACACAACCGTCCTTGTCGACATCAACCAAGCACATCCCAGTTCCACGACGCTACTCCATCAAAACTCCCCCCATTCTATTCTTTCAACTGAACCAGCAAAAAACCCATTCCTTGCATCGACGCACTCATTGCCAAAGTCATACGTCCTACTTGACTAACATACGAACACTGTACTTTTGACAAACTATTGAGAATCTGTATCTCCTGTTTTTTTCTTAAAAAAATAAATAAATCTTTTGGCACGATGATAAGGGGGGGATGGATGGTAAAAAAAAAGTGATTTCACAGGGTTTAAAAAAACGATGCGGTAGCGAGTGTAATATGTTTCTCTCTCTCTCTCTCTGGTAAAGTCTAGACTTGAGAGAGAGAGAGAAAAAAACACCTGAGGTAAAGGGGATTTGTGGTTTCGGATATATATATATATACCGCATATTTTGTTATGTGCGTACTTGGTTTGAATGTTACTTGGAATTGTACATATTATTAAAAGAAAATACTCCTCGACCACGCGGATGCGCGAGGATCAGGACATATAATGCTATTACACTGCCTACATTGCCCATTGACTGAGGAGGAGGAGGGGGAGGGGGCGTGGCGGAGATGCTTAATGTACGATTATCATATCGTTCCAGCCTGCTCCGTCGATAGAAGGGCACCACTGCTCTTTTTTTTCAATGGGCTTTTAGACCTAGTGAATTCCATGATCTAGGCCCCACCCACATGTGGGCGGCTGGAACGAAAGGCGGCGAAGAGATAGCGTGGAGAAACGCAAACTATGTGCCGTAGCTCAAAGAGTACAGGATACACACGTAACGTACTTTGGTTATGAACACAGCGGCTAAAGCATTTAGGCAGGAGGTATGCAAAAGAAAATGAGAAACGGACTACGCACTCGTGCTGATTTCAGTATCTGGTCATTTAAAGGCCATATCAGGCCGCAGCAGAAATGCCTCATGACTATCCTGGAGTTAGAGATTTCGAATCCTCCTTGCACATTCTTTGATGAAGAGGAAAAAAAAGGGGGGGATCATGGAGACCGTGAAATCCGATACTTCAAGGCGCTCCCCATGACCCACGCGCTTTCAAGCCCCATTCGTGGCCGCTTTCTTAGGCTGGCTGCTCACGATGTCCCCAACTGGCGCTATCAGCATGCAAGTAAGAGGAGACATATCGTCAGTATGAATAGGGAACTAAGCTCAGAGCCGTATCTGCTTGTCATGCTGCTTACGTCGCATGAGACATATCTGCCAAAGTGTTATGATTTTTTAATTTTCTTCCCGGTCCTGCAACTGGCATGTTGTGAAAGGCGCTAGATGATCATATCACGACAGACCGACAGACCAGCAGGCAGATGGGGCGGGGTGGGTCTTTGCATCATGCATATCCCAAAAGCCAGTGCCGACCTGTCTTATTGTCTTTCTTTTCGGAGGAAAGAGAGGGAAAACAAAGGAAAACTCGTACCCGATCATACAGCGAACAGACCATGCGCTAGGAATCTTTTGACGGGCGAGAAGAGAAAGGAAAGTGGATTCTGGCATCGTACCATGTTCATATACCGTAACTGCACGTTTGATAGGATGCTGGGAGAAGGGTTTGCCACCGCCATGTAATCATTGGGTTTCTTTGACACCCGAAGTCTCTAGTCGCTAGGCAGTCATTCGGGTTGCTGTTCAAGATCCTCGTTTGGAAATCGGACACGAGAATAAAGTATGACGAGATTCTGCAGCATGTCAGGGTGACTAACGTATCCAACGGTCGGGTCTCCGTGGTACGGACATCAGCGGAGACGCCGGGATGGGTTGAAGTTGCGAACGACATTCTCTTGAAAACTGCTGATAGTCATAGCTTCGGAGGTACCCAGCTGAGTCGGAAATCTCCTAAACGCAAGGCCTATTGGTATGGACAGGGACCGGGTTGCTGCACTTCTTTCTCATCAAGTCGGATGGCAAGAAGAATGGTTGGTTCCTCCTACGGTTTTGAAGATAATCCCTTGAATAAAACCCGGAACGACCGACAGTCGGTGCGTTGTCATTGTTTGTTTCATTGCTGCAGCCGCTGCCTTGGCTAATTTGGATCAAGAGGATTACGACAGCTCACATTGACGGCATGTCTAGTGCCAGCTGTTGTGTTCAGCTGACACAAATCACGAACAGTCTGCAATTTCCAGGGGTAGATGATGGTCTAGCATTTGGTCCAGCTTATTTCAAACGGCGGTCCAACGAAAGTGTCCAACGATAACGGGGTGAGATTAGCATTAGCCATGATCCAAATTAGCTACACTCGGTGAGAACAGTCGAAACCCACTGGATAGTCACTCGAGGCAAAAACAATGCTTGTTTGAGGCGGGGTTGGCGTTGTGGAATCAATACAGCATCTGAATGTCGCGGAACTGTGGCGTCGCTGATTGCCCGTCCCCGGATTAAGGGATTTAGTGTTCTAACACTTTTGTGGGGAACAGGTGTATCTTGTGACGGCTCTCGTGTTGTGGCCTCTCTAGAAACCGTTTTTCAGGTTTAGACTTGAACCACAGAGAAATGTGACTTGTGTGGCTAATCACATCTCGTAATGAACGCCTGACCGGTGATGTCCCGATTTGGGAAGGAAGGAGCTGTCCCCATTCATAGCCGCATCATTGGCTTCCACAACATTCGCACAGACCAATCGTTCTTGAAGTGAGCCGACAGAGGTGTGGCTATAGAGTGTCTTTGTCGTACGCGTAGATCTCGGGAAGTGACCGAAATTGGTATTCAAAGGCTGTAGGCATAGCCTTCCTGCTTAGGTATCGATTTCGGCTTTTTGGTGCCCTTTACTTGCTAAAGAAACCAGGACCAGACTGAAAAGCCTTTGTTGTGAAGTCTTGGCTGACGTGTACGAGAAGCACTCTGTACGTCATGTAGGCGCGGCGCTGGCATTTTACCTATCCAAGATGTATATGCCCCCATCGATAAGTGGTTGGAGGGGCTATCGAATTTTCTCTGGAGCACCAATTGACAAGGTGTTTGGCGTTGATTTTGTGATTATGCGGATGCTATCGGCCGCTCCGTACGACGCCAACGTTCGCTACCGAGCCGTGATGCTGCTAGCCAAACCGAATTCCATATTAGTATGGATTAAGGGAGTAGTAGTCTTGGACATTGCGTGATACTGATATGCCAGAATGCTAATCGAAATCTCACAGTCTCTTCGGCTGTTGAAGACATGGATGCCGTGGCAACCTGATTGTGCAGATCGGCGCCTTGCGAAACACCAATGGGCATTGCAAACAAAGGGTACACGAGCGTTTTTAAGCCGGAAGTCGAATCAAAGTAGGGTTCATCGCCTCCTAGCGACTCGGGTAGCCGTTGGCGTAAGCTGTGCTGGTTCAACAGTTCCACTGGATCCGTTGTGCGAGTCTTCGAACCGTAGAAGATGAGCGGTTCGCGCACTTGGGCTAGCTACCATCCTGTAATTGAAGTCGATTCTAGTCTCGTGTTCTCTGCGCCAAATGGGCTGATTGAGGAACGCGCTGAGGGTACGACAAGACAAGCCCACAGCGGTATCACCTGCGCTCGCTCGCGCACGAGGTAGAATAGGAGCCCATGTTTGCAAGAAAATAAGTGAGATGGGTATGGAGTTGGCTACCGCTTCACTCCTAGAACCAGCGAAATGCTAGCCCAACTATGAACGATCTCCGGCGCAATGTCGGCGTGGGCGCTGCCATCAGTCGTCGCAGGTCCTTGATCAAAGAAGGGTTTGCGTCGGCGGGCCCGATGGCTAAATCCCTTGAATTTGGTTGACAAATCTACAGACGGGCTATCCAATCGTAATTCATTGTCCCATGGTAAGCAGATTTGGCTTCATTATTGTTTGTAGACGCTGGTTTCATCGTCGAAAATTGATACCATTATGGAAAGATGGATTGCTCAGTTCAAGCAAGCACCGACCCATGTTAGATTTTTTTTCGGTCATTTGATCAGGGAGACCCGGAATAGCAGTGCTTGTGCAACAGCTCATACGCCATAATCAACAAACAGCAATTGCGCCAGCATGGCAACCATGCAGCGTCCAGCCTTTGTCGAGTCGGCTGAGACAATCAAGAAGGGTCTATCATGTTTTCTGGTTTTCCGACAATGCATTTGAGGCGGCTGCAGGTCGCCATGAATCTATCGATCATGGCCACTGCTTTGATGCCGGTCATGAGTGTCACGGGGCAGACGGGAGGCAGCAGCTGGCTGTGTCTCGATAGTAGACGCCGCGCAGGGCCGTCGAGTGCTTGGTGACGTCCAAGTGCACAGTGAGATCTCTCGAAGGGGCAACCTCCTGAGCCTTCTCAGCCACCATGTCCCTCTTTGCTTTCAACGGCTGTCGTGCTAGGATGCAAGAGATGCCATGGCAAGTGCCGAAATCGCCAGGGAGAGCGGGCACAAAGTGCGGTGAGGTGCTCGGAAAATAAGCGGCAGGCGTGCCTCTGCATCTCCCCTCGGAGAGGGCGTCAGATGACGGACCGGAAATGGAAAGTGAAGAGGGCCCGGGACAATTCCATGTTGGCTGCTGCGGCAAGCCTGGCGGCCTGCGTCCCTCACTCGAAAAGCTGATGACGAGCTGGCGATTGGATCAGGGCGGACATGAGCCTTTTACCTCGAGGCAGGGGATGCAATGCGAAGAGGTGGGAACTCATGGCGCGTCAGCCCCCATGGCGTGGTGGACGGGCACAACGTGCAAGACAGACACATGAACGCGAGGGAGCATGGGAAGTGAGATGTCGTCCCACAAGCACCGGCCGTCTCCGTCTGGGTCAGGAGAGAGGGCCTCGTTGTGTCGAGGCTGCTGGCGGGCTGTATGTACATAGATACTTGGACACACGCAGACACGATGACGATGGGGGGTTTGGGAAGTTTGCGGACGAGTGTCGTACGACGGGGGGAGCAGCAGACGCCAAGGAAGGGCTAGTACTGAAAGGGGGAAGGGGCGGGTACAAGCGGGGGGAAAGAGCAAAGGGCAGCCGCGGGAAGGTGCACGTCACCACCGGGCGGTCCTTCCCGATTCCCTGCCCTGCCCTGCCCTGCTCTGCCGCCTGTGCAGGTCATGGCATGCCATCAATGCCCTTGGTCGTTCGCTCGCTGCTCGTCCGCCCGCCTGGCCTGTCCTGTCTTGTCCATATGCCTGCCCGTCGTGTCCACCATCCAAGGGAGCCCCGCCGCGGAGAGGGCGACGGCGGCCCATCGCTCTGCGCCATCATTCCCCCCCTTGGCCCCCCACCCCCTCTCTGACCACCACTACCACCGCTGCCCCCTACCATGCCCCCAGTCTCAATATGCCGTTCGCCGCGTCCATCTCGTACCGTAGCCCGACAAGCAGCCGCTGACACTGTGACTTGCTGCAGCCGCTGGGAGCACTGCCTGGCTCTACCCGCTTTCGGAGCTTTGCGCAGTCAACCATCCATTATGTCGGGTCGGGGTGTGAGCGCCTGTGTGTATGTATGTATGTGTGTGTGTGTGTGCATGGGCGAGAGCGCGGTGGGCAGGGAAATGGACGCTGGAAAGCCTCTATTCTGGCGCTGTGAGATGCTCTAACCCAAACATCCAGGCAATGCAACACCTGCGCATCGCTCGCTGGCCGTGGCGCCCGCGTGTGTGTGTGCATGTGTGCGTGAAAGTATGTGCGAGTTCCAGCATTCTCCTCCTCTTCGTCATCTTCAGTCACCTCGAGCGGCTCCCTCCAGGCCAGGCGGTCTTGTTGCGCTCGCTCTCTGTGACAGGTAGTGGGCCTGAGCCTAATCCCACTCTCGCTGTCTGGTCCTCTCCTTCACCCTCAACCCGCGGGATGACCTGTCGTCGGCCAGCGGCTCTCGGCCCGTGGCGCTCTTCGCTACGCCTGGATTGGGCCTCTCCACCACTGGCTGCTGAGTGGACGCCGCCCGTGACTGATGATCCAATGCAGCAAGGCTGTGGCAAGAGTGAGAGCAAACTATGGTCAGCTGTCTGCCCCATGGGTTATTCTGGGCGGCTGGCCCAGAGATGAAACATCGACGACCCAGCACTGCGGTCGTTAACCTGTCGTGTCGAGTCGGGCCCCGATCGGAGCATGCTGTTGTATTCAGTGTTCCTGCATCGCTGCACGGGGCTGTGATGCCTTTGCTGGCCGAGCCAATCGACGGGCCGTGAGGCGGTGGGTCAGAGAACAGGGAGTGCTAAGCTCGGCGTGGGCCTGGAGTCTATTCGAGCTCTGTGAATCTAGGCACTGGCGAAGACGATCCCTCCCTGCCTTCGGAGATATTCACTCCCTGCTTTGGGAAAGGCTCGTTGCTGCAGTTTGCAAATGTTACCGTGGTGCTAGAAAACGGCCACCGTCTGAGCAATACGGATGATTAGCTTGGGGCTGAATCTTGATCCGGCACGCCTACCATGCATGCCTCACGCCTATACTCACTTGGCAGGCACTTCTTCTTTGAGCCAACAGATCCGTCATGGGCCCTAGTCTGCTTCTACCCCATATCGAGCTGTAGCGCTGTCTGCCTGTCAACAGTACTTCTACTGCCCACTCTTATTCGGCTGCCTTTGGTATCCTTGACATACCCTTCCCATATCCCATCTTGTCCGTCACCACTCACTTCCCCGGACCCACTATTTCCAGCAATCTCCTCTAGATCATTATCTTGACACCACAAACCGGTACCCTACCAGCCTCGCAGATCACGGGGCTGTTAACCCTGGTGAGCTTGTGCAACATCCTGAACGCAAGAGATGAATTTCGAATAGAGAGCACAGGGCATATATGCTTCAACCCCTACACCGTACAATTCTTACCCATACCAAGCCAGGCTCATATCCACTACTACTTGACTGTGGTATTTTCCTTGTTTGTCCGAACTATACTCGATAACTTTCACCCTAGGATAGACAGCGCACCTTTTGTCTGTCGACGATCAGCGCAGATCCCGGAGTTGCCCATAGATTGCTCACTCTCCGACTACAAGCCAGCATTCTTGTGGCAACAGCCACGATTGAATACCAGTCGACGCCACATAATCTCTTTTTGAAAACGGCTGCATAACCTGGTAAGTTCGAAACCGTGTGGCGCGATATACGCCTTGATTCGACTTTGTGAGATTGACGGTTGATAGTATACAACGTCAGAGTGGTCCCCTTCCCACATTTGTCACCACCAGAAACTCCTGGCACCAAACGGTGGGGCTACGATTTGTACCTGTCTGTGCTCTGAATTTGACATCCCGAATTCCTGGAGAGTGCGAGAAGAAACAAAGCGCAACTGTGGGTCTTTTACTCTGCGGAGACAAGCCGTTCGACTCAGGACGTCGCGCAGCCGCTGCGAGTGACATCAACACATACGACACTGCATCGCACGTCCCTAAAAAACCAAGCCTGTCAGTCCATCTTCTTCTTCTTCTCCTTCTTCTTCTTCTTCTTCTCCGTTGCCACGGCCAGCGCATTGACAAGACGCAGCATTGGGGCCAATACAGGCGTTGCAGTATCCCCGTCATCAAGTTGAGCGGCACGTCCCTCACCAGTCCAAGGTGCAAATCAACGGGCGCACTGCGGTGACTGCTCTTGGTTTTCTGCACTCTACCCAGGCCGAGCATCAGCGTCAACAGAGCCTAGCTCCCCCAGTAAAGCGCAGCGGCAGCTAATCGAGGATCCATTCCACCCTTGTGCCGGTTAAACCACAGAGATTGCCTGAAGCGAACCAACAGCGGCTCGAAACGAGCTTGCCCGGCTTGACCACCATCCCGTTTCAGCAACCCTCTCGCAGCCGCCCCGGCGCGCCGAAACTTACCATTAGAACCGCTACGCAAGCCTCTGACTCGCTTGATCGATCCGCATCTTAGGCTCCGGTGCGAAGCAGTTCGGCTGTAGCGGACTTCTGTCAGCAGCGAATCCTCTCGCTACTGCCGGCGCCATTGAATTGGACCCAGTCTGTCGGGACTCCGGTGCAGAATTTCCAGAGCAAAACGAGCGGCATTAGATTGAGTCGCTTGCAAGGCACATTGCCCTCCCACGGGCTCTCTTCGGCATCGACCATACATAGCAAAGCGGCAGTGCGTCGATTGCTCATTACCATGATGAATCAAGGTAAGTCAGATTCACGCGTATTTCCAACCCACATGCAGCATATGGACAAAAAAATTGCCATCCCATCATCCCATCCCTTTCCCTTCAGTCGTTGGCTCTAAGCGCTGCACTCGTCCAGCCATCACCTTGCGCCCTTCTCCGCACTCTTTCCACGCCCGTCATTCCTGCATTCACTCCCATATTGCACCACAACACATTCAGTGCATCGGTTGTTCGCCGACCCCTCTTCCCACGGCAGCACGCTACGGACGTGGTATTTTGCCCATCCGTACAGTCTGCTTTGCACGCTTGCTCTGCCACCTGGTCGCTGTGCCGCGTGTGCGACGGCGTCCCACACGTGCCCTCATCTACGCTCCATTGCGCACCTGTGCACGTTGCCCGTTGTTGTCACACGTCTTGTTCAACAGCACACTGTTTGGGTGAAGTCGATTGGCTGACGTGCAGGATAAGCAGTGCTGCAACCACCGCCGTCATTGGCCTCGGAAAACCCTTTCTCTTCGGAGGAAGGGTATATCGATCATATTGGGGCGCATGCACATCACAACTCATTCGCAAGCGTATCTGATCAGTTCAGGCGCGAGCCAGTCCTGGCACACCCAGCAGCTAGTCTCCACCAAGGCTCGATCGCAGGCTGCTACGGGACACATCGTCCCGACAGTGCGTAAGTATGAAAGCTCTCATTGGCTGTTTTCTTCCCGTCTGGCATGGCAGGCTCGGTGGTGTTGCCTAGCCCTGTGGCCCCCGAGCCTGCATCTCTCGACGCCTCTCTCGCCCGGTGCAGCCCAAGTGCAGCCTTCCCCTACTCCGAAACAAACACGTCGTCAATGTCCTTGATCATAATCGCCGTCGCACACGTATCAGATGCATGGCATACTCGGTCTTCCCAACAGGCCGGTCTGTCGTATTGATCACACGACAAATCTTGCGGTAATGCCGTACCGCCCCTGGCCTGCTTGACGACTTAAATCGTGCCACCCTGCCGGCTGGTTACACATGGTTATCGTTGGCATCACTTTGGTCAAATGGCTTGTTTTGTGAATTAGACTGACTCGTGCCTGTAGCTACCAGACGAGTGCGGCTCTGTCGGATTCAGGGTCTGCATCGATTAGTGCTTCACCTAGTTCAACTGCTTCTTCAGCACTAGCATACTCGTACGCAACATTTCCACAGACGGTTGCCACGACCTATCCCAACCATTTCCCCCCAGTGTTCACCCCTGTCTGGGGAAACAGCGGCAGCATGTCCTCGACTCGACGACTGTAAGTATTCCAAGATTTCGCACTCGAACGTGTGGAACCCGACGAGCATGCACGACCGCTGACGACTACATGGCAGAAATGATGCACCATCCACAGGCATGTTACCCACAGCAAGATCACCGGGGCTAGGCCACTCAGTGTCACCGTCCATGGGTTCATCGGCGAGAGACAACTATACGACAGGGACGTCTGCCATGCATAGATATTCACACACCCTGTCCCCTCGCTCCGATCTGTCTGGCTACACCTCCCAGCCTGACACTCCCAGGAGTGTACTTCCGACAGCAATGCCGTTAGCTACTTACAACAATGGCTACCATGCGGGTGCTTATGTACCGCCAACTGGTTCACCTGAATCGCCGCCTTTCAATGCACAGTCGGTCTGGGGCACGATTCTCTGCGAAGGTACCACGGTGACACCCACCCTCGACGCCAAGATCGAAAAGGGCTTCTTCTACTCAAGCGACCATGTATGGACCTGCTATCGGCGGAACTACTTTTCTGTGAATGTGTCGTATCAACTCTCGCCATGGACTCCCAACGGACGTCTGTACCTAGATCAGGGCAATGGCAAGCAAAGCGAGCAAATACAGTCGATGGCTGTTTCCCTTGGAGCTGCTGTAGACGGAGCATCAGGAAAGACGATCGAGCTGATTCAGCATACTCCAAAGCGCGACAAGGGCCCCCAAATACCCATGAAGAAGGAGCTGCTGGCACCGACGCCACCAGGTAAAAGTCATGAGCACGGTAGTTATGCGCTGAATAGTTTCCATCAAACCTCAGCAGTAGCAGGCCCTCACCTTCCGCTGCAAAACGAGAACGAATCGTCGCAGCAGTACTCTCCCACAAGCCATGGTAGTAGCAACTACCAGCATTCGTTTGAGCGCATCCAGTTCAAATCGGCAACGGCCAACAACGGCA